TGTTTGAAACGAAGACTCACTCTAAACCTTAGCTCATTAGACCATAGCTCAATTAGATCTCATTTAAATATTCATGGAGACCTACCAGACCCTATTGGTAATATACTTGTTGACAACACAAATATAATAACATCTTCTACATGTAAAAAAAAAAGGCTAAAAATAATGGAAGCCTTATTAATAAGAACAAAAAAAAACAATCAATAATATCAACTACGAACATGGACATAATATCTTGACCGTGTTTTGAAAAATGAAGACATTATATAAATACATACATGCAACAAACTATTTCTTATTTAACAGTTAAAATATTTCATCCTTGAAAATGGCTAAATGTATAGCCGAAAGGGCTCGGATGAAAAGAACATTCGGACAGTTTTTATATAATTTATCGTCTGAAAAGAAACAAATTATTAGATCACATAAAAAATTGTATAAAAAACTAAATGAAAGCACCTTGTCTGTCGTATTCAATGAAATGTGCATGAAAGGATTTCTGCCTAAATACACACACGCACACAAACACACACACACAGACATATATATATATATATATATATATATATATATATATATATATATATATATAATGAATAGTTTAGTTAATAAAACAAGGACAAACGAAAGGGTACAATTATAGTCAGTACGACTAACATTTATTAAATATTAATTATTAACCATATGACAGAAATGAAGCATAGAGTGAAAGACTTTCAGTTAGGAATCTTCGGACACACCTGTGTCCTTCATCAATGGACCAAGGAATAAACAGTGAAGTGGGAATTACTCACCGACAGATGCTTTTGTAGATGGTGTATTTTCGAGTGGAAATCGTATTGTTAGCGTGTCCGAAATTATAGCGTTACTTAATTTTAATATAAATTATTCAAATAAAACATGACTTATTTTTAGTTTATTTAAATATATCTTATTTTTAAATATGACTTGTCTTTGGAATAGTATTTTTAAGTATGATTTTGCATTTTTAAAACATAACTTTATCTATCTGATAAAGTCCATTAGAGGACGAAACATGTTGGTAAAGAATAGATTTCCTTAATCATAATATATATATATATATACACATATATATATATATATATATATATATATATATAAGATATGCCTTATAAACACACACACACATATATATATATATATATAAAAGATATGCCTTATAAACACACACACACACATATATATATATATATATATATATATATATATATATATATATATATATATATATATATATATATATATATTTAAGATATGCCTTATAAACACACATAGTGCCTTATAAACGCAAATGTTTTGCTTGAGCGGTGACACACTCCGTGGTTAGCCGGTCTAAAGCACGCCAGACAAGTGTGTCGCAGATACGAATTTTCCTGAGAAAGCATATTTTCCTTTAATAAGATCTCCCGACTATTCAAACCGATAGACGAAAATAAATAATTTTACTGTTTAATAAAGAAATGAAACGTCTACTCAAATATGGGTATACACTAAAATTTCTTTTAAAGTGATAATTTAATTAAAAGAAAATTTCATCGTCAAATTCTTCGTCATTATTAAAACAAAAGAACAAAGTATTTTTTAGGAAAAAATTAATTTTAAAATCATTTTTAGTACCTTTTTTGAAATTTTGTGACCATAAATTAGTACATAAAAAGTGAGCGTCTTTTTCAAGTGAAAAAAAAAACAATGATTTCAAAATTCTTGTAAAAATCAAATTCTTCGATTTTGATGAAACTTATAGTCTTTATTTACAAATGAAAGAAAGTATTTTTGAAATGTTTTCTTTTTAGGGCCGCTTGGTATTTTTTTATTTTTTTATTTTACATGAGTGACATTCAGTTATTTAATTTTATGAAATTTTGAGAAATTCTTGTTGCATCGCGTAAAGTTTAGATTACTTATAAGGATAAGTCCTCGGAGAATTTAAACTGAAAGACGAAACCATCAAAAAGCTGCGTAGAGATTAAAAGATAATTTTCTTAGAAGTATTCAGAGAAGAACCCATAATGTGGAATTTTCTTCTTGCATTTGGAAGACAGGGCAAATGAAAATGATTCAAATCTGTGGAAGTAACATAGTATATCCTTACATGGAGAATTCTGTTACGATAAATCTCAGTACGGTATTGATCTCTTAAACTGGAATGGAACATGCGCTCTTTGGGCTATAAAATGTTTACCGGTAAGGTATGTTTGGCGGGTGGGAAAGTCTAACCGCCAATGATGAACATAGCGCCTGCACCTGTCCTCCATTTTTTTTTTTTTCCAATCAACGACCCTAACGCCATCAGCTTTAATGAGAGTTCAGTTTTCCAACCGATTTAGCGCCTTGTTTTCACCGCACTCTGGTGTCTCAAAACGTCACTTCCGTCGTGTGATGGTGCCGTCACGTCTTCAGGTCGTGTAACGACAGCAGCGGAAAACGGTGACCGGTGGTGAACATGTGTTTGCAATATTCGTTCGCATCGCGGCGACATGCGAACAAAAAGGACGAAATGGCGCCGTTCCAACATCATTATGTGTGACGGCAAAGAAAACAACGTTCGGCGCATGCGTGACTGAACAATGACGACACGGACAACAAGTAATTAGGCAGTCATTGGTGAGACGAGAGTGAAATGCTGTTCAGGATTATAATTGTTCCCTCCGACCCGACGGAGAGACGATCCGTCAAAAGCTGTGTAGGGGGTCAAAAGGAATTTGCTTAGAAGTTAATTGGTAATCTTATATGTAAAATCTGAAAAAAATTGAAATATTTATTTGCCGACAACTGTTTAATAATATCATTCATAGTATCATGGGTAGGGCTATTAAAATGTAATTGATAGTAATATATATATATATATATATATATATATATATATATATATATATATATATATATATATATAACGTTCAAATAATAATAATATAATATATATATTAAAATAATATATATATATTAAAATATATTTTTCTTATTCTTATTACTTGCTTAGAATTTTCCATGAGATCGCTAAAAAAAGGCATAGCATGATGAAAAAAAAAAAACCAAACTTGACGAAAACAAAATTTTATCGTCAAAATGTTTATGCTATTATTAAGAGGAAAGAACAAAGTATTTTTTAATTATTTTTAAAAGATTTTCCTTCTTTTTAGAACATTCTAAGTTTTGATTAAAAAAAACCTTGTTTCTCTTTGTGTCAGTAGAAGTACTAAATAACAGGAAATTTTAGTGCATTTTTAATGACAGACATTAATTTGGAAAATCTTGCAAAAATAAAAATAATTGTCAGACGTTAATGAAACTTTCAGAAACTATTCACAAATGATGGAAATTATTATAAATATGTTTTCCTTTTTTAAAGTCATGGGAAAAATATTTTTTTTATATTTATTAACCTCCACCTCATAAGAAATTTTATGAAAACTCTAGAAATTCATTAACGTACAATTTAGTGATTATATTAGCTTTGAAGAAAGCAAGTCTGTTTTTTTTTTTTTTTGTTTGTTTGTTTGTTTGTTTTTTTAATCGGACCACTTCTACCTGAAAATCAGCTCAGAATTGTAACATACAAAATCCAGTAAAACAAAAAAATTATTTAATTTCAAATGCTTTTAGTTGCTTTTAGTTGTTTTTATGAAATCTGGATAATATTGTCTGAAAGCAAAAAACTTTTTCGATGAAAAATAAATTTTTAAAACAATTATTTGTTATTTCATAAATTATTTTATTAGTTTTACATTAAAATTGTTAAATATTCTAAAATTAGTGAAAATGGGGTACAGTTTAGTCAATGGTGTTATTAAGTAGATGTATCTTTACAGATTATAAATTGTAAAGCTTATTACAATCAACAAACCACCAGTATATTAAAAATCCAATTTTACATTTTTTTGTCCATAAAAAGCAGCATGAAAACAATAAAACGTCACGTTATTGGAGTTACTATACGCGTTATTCCACTCTGTTACGGCCTTTATTTTTGCGAATTGTTCGTGCGAAACACGGGTGAAGAAGTTAATTTGATTTTTCAATTTCAACTGAGAAGGGTACCTACAAGTATTAGGTACCTGTCTTATGAAATTTATGTGATCTTATTTTTATTATCTCAGTTATGACATTTTTTTCCATAAATGAAATACCAAAATTAATAATAAAATGAATGGAAATACAAATAACACAGTAAAATGTAATAAATGAACATAAAATTATAGTATTTTATGTACACTTTTGATAAAATGTAATAAGAAAGGTACCTATAAATTAATTAGATAACTTTCTTACGAAATTTCATCTCACTCTCAACAGTCTTATTTCAATTTTTTATAAAATATTTTCCATAAAGCATCGTAACCGTAAAGGTGAAGGCTAAGTACAAAAAAAAAAATAGAGCGCTTAAAGTTTTCCTTAAAAATAACGAGGTAAATAAGTTGGTTTATTTAAAACTAAATAAATATGTCACTTCTGTCCTTCCGTACGATAAGTTGCCCTCACGTAAGCTGTTAATACGTGATGAAATCATTACTCGACACTTGTCACTTAATACCATTCTTAAGACTTGTTTTGTCTTATTTTTAAACTATATTTTTTCGGCGCAGAAAGTAAATAAAAAATAAAAATATTTAAAGATAAAATATTTTAAATAAACTTTATAATTTCTCATTTTCTTAAAATAAATTTTGAAAAAAATCATAATTGATTTTTAAAAGAATTTTAAACGGAGAATTTCATTTTTGTTTACAAAAGGAAAAAATGTTCGACATGATCGATTATCTGTCAATTTTGCTGACTCAAAAAAAAAAAAGATTTTTAACAAAAATTTCGGACGTGCTAGGAACAATTAAAAATGTAAAATAATAACCCCAAAACACTTTCATCTTTCCTCTTAACAATAACATAAACATTTAGACAATAAAAATTATTTTCATATGCTATGCTCTTTTTATAGCGATCTCATGGAGGATCCTATAGCTTGTTCATTAGGACTTTTTAAT